ATTATTTCCCAACAAACGTTTTTATGTATATCTATTCAAGGAATCTTCGGAAAATAAGAAAAAAAAATCAATTAACAACAAAATACATCCCCACAAACCAACAAAAAATTGCTTACCCACGACCATTGACCCCTATCAAATAAAATGATGAGCAGGATGCCACTCCTCTATTTCATAAACATATTCTTAATGACAGACTGGTACCTAGCCAATATAACTTCATGTAATTGTGATGCCACTCGTGCATATCCTTAATTTATTATATATTTTTTGTTGCCTTATTTGATTTTAAAAGCTCAAAAATGCGTCCTTATTTACCTTTCAGAATTCTACAAATGCTAAAAAGTCAATTAAAAATGGATTCTTCAACGTTTATTTACACAGAACTTCATTGATTATTAATGCAATAACTTAAATAATTCTTAGTATTGTAGGTAGCAACGATGGGACAGGGTATATATTTCTTGTTTTTTATAGAAAACATTGCAATTTCTATCGTCTCCTGACAACTGTACCAATTTACTCAGTCGGTTCTTAAAACTAGCAATTCTAAAATTATAATTTATCTTTGGAAGAATAAAGTGAGATCCATCAAATCCGGTTATAAATAATAGAGATAAAATCTTTTAATGATCGCAACAAATATTAAATGACATTTCATTTATCAATGAACTTGAATCTACACTACATAGGGATGCTTCCATATAATTATGATTAATCATGGCTTTGTTATTCTTGAGTAGAAGATTAATAAAGAATTTTCCTATATATTTCTATATTAAACTTTGGTCGGCCATTATGGCCCTGTCCTACCCCCGGGGTCATGATTTGAAAAAAAAAACTTGAATCTGCACTACCTGAGGATGCTTTCATATAAATTTGATCAATCATGGCTTCTTTATTTTTGAGAAGAAGATTTTTGAAGATTTTACCCATACATTTCTATGTAAAACTTTGGTCGGCCATTGTCAACCCGCCCTACCCCAAGGGGTCATGATTTGTACAAAATTGAATCTACACTACCTGAATATGCTTCCATAAAAATATGCGCAGTACTGTTAAGGCTTCCCGGAGCTAAAAATGCATTTAAAACATAACTACTTCATTACAAAGCTGATTTTGAGGGGTTTTTTTTACGTTATGTACTTCAGTGCGCCAAATTCATACAGAGAATCTCCTTGGATGTATATGAACATATTTGTTACGATGTCACATGACCTTGTTGATCACGTGACGGTCATTTCTTCTTTTTTGAAATGTTTCTTAAAATCGCTTCGGGGCAGGCTATTAACACAATTATTATTAACTTTTTGTCACATAAATAAACTCGTTGCATCCTTGTGAAACCGAAATGTGCTTGGGGAAAGTTATACGATTTCTTTGAAACAAGTTATTCATATTAACTTCAACTAACCGACAAATCTGAGGGTATTTTCCGCTGAATATCGTCATCTGTTTTAAAACAAAGCCATCATACATTTTTCCCAAGCAGGATTCAGTTAGAGGGGAAACTTCTTTTACATATTTCCACAAAAGATATCAAATAAATTTTCAATAACAACCTGGGCCAGGTTCTTTTATAGACCTATTATGAATTCTGCCTCTGTCCACGGGTATAAAAAAGGGTAAATGTCAAACGTATATTTTCGTAGGGAGTTTGAAAACACTGACTCTTAAACAAGAGTAATAAAGCAAAGTTATCTAAATTATTCGGATATATTAGACTTTGACAAAAAATGGTAAAAACACGTTTATTTTATACTAGCATTCTGCAACTTTATATGCAGATTGAAATAAGGTGTAAAGTTTATGACACTCTCCCAATCATTACAGATCAAGTATGCAGTGACTTGACGTCATTTTCAATTATTACGTCATACATTTGTAGTTCAGAAAAGTTCATGCAGAGAGTACACCACAATATTCTCTGGGAATCTTTATAGTACCTGCGTGATCAATCATGGCTTTGTTATTCTTGAGAAGAAAATTTTTAAAGAATTTTTCTATGTATTTCTATGTAAAACTTTCCTGGCCCAGTGGTTCTTGAGGAGAAGATTTTTTTAAAAATACCATTAACTTTTCACTAATTACCTCCCCTTGGAAGAGGGAGTGGTCCTTCATTTGAATAAACGTGAATCCCCTTCACCTAAGGATACTCTGTGGCAAGTTTGGTTGAAATTGGCCCAGTAGTTCTTGAGAAGAAGATGAAAATGTGAAAAGTTTACAAACAGCTAGACAGACAGCTATAGACAGACGGACGCCGGACAAAATGTGATCAGAAAAGCTCTTGAGCAAATTCCTGATCCTTTGACAAATTTTAGGTTAAGCAAGGGGTATTTGTCAAAAAGGGGCGACCAATCTTCCATGGGTTATTTCTTTATTAACTAGCTGAATGGGCCCGTCAGTAAAAGACCTTAAGGACTCGGAATTCTCACAATCATATGCTTGTCTAGGGCCCTTGTAACACAGCTTAAAACCAAAATGAAAACCTTCCGAGTAATTCAGGTACAAATGCTTTGCAAGCTTAAGACAGGCAATTTTTAGGGGTATCTGAAAGACTGGGTTGATGCGAGTCTGTTATAGGTATAAGGGGCTGCTTGAGCTTCTGAGGTCAAGGAGCACCAATCTGACTTCGTGTTTGACAACATAAGAATTGATGGAGAGTGAGTTATATTCTTGTTCTTACTGTGTGGGTGTGGCTGTGAGCAAAGGATACACGTGTGACTGTATTGACATTGTTGTCTTGGATATGCGCCTTTATAATTAAAATCATAACACTTGAGTGTTGGGGGATTGGGTTCTGATCCCTGCACAGTCTGCACCATCATAGGTCTGTTGTACATATAGGCAATCACAACTCCACTACGGAAAATGATAATTCAAGATTATTCTCTTTTTTAAGTTGGAACTTCATGTCATAGTCCCGCCAGACTAACCCCATAATACGACTAGCGCCTTAATACTGCTGCATGGAGATGAGCGGATGCATAAATCGTAGAAAAGATAAGGAAAGTGTCAGTCCATACTTGTATGTCCGTAACGGTTTTTGCTCTAGGCGTAGTCGTGACTGCACGTTTCCCGTCTTTTAGAGAAAAACTATTTGGTGTCATCATTGGGGTCAGTTTCTGGGGCATTATTAAGCATTGTACCTAATGTACTCGTTATAAGCAATCTTAATTTTTACATGGTTTGGGACGTTGTGTCCTAACTCATTGTCATAGCTGGGTACAGCTGCCCTACCCCTGCGAGACGATCATGAATAATTCATGAATTTCCTTGAATTTTTCATGAATTTTGTTCATGAAATGTTCATGAAATATTCATGAAGATCCTATGAACTTATTATTGGACATTTTCAAATCATGAATTTTTATTCATGAAAGAAAATTGATGAATATTCATGAATATTTTTTTTTTCATGAATAATTCATGAAGAGTCATATTCATGAAGATTCATCATTTCAAGAATGTCCAATAATAAGTTCATTGGATCTTCATGAACTGTTCATGAATAATTTGATGAATTTTTCAGTAATGTTCATGAATGAATAAAATTCATGAACCACTAAAATTCACGAATATTCTTGCTTATTTGTAAACAAAAAATGCAATATTCTTATTCATGTTTATTCATGAAAATGCATGAAGTCATGCTAAAAAAGTAACAGTAGATGCTTTATAATACAGCATCTTGAAAGATTTCACAGAAATGTTGTTTGTTTTCCAACCATGGCAACAAAATCTTTGTTAAAAAACTTAAGATTAACAGTTCTGACATATTAAACCATAGTAAATGAGTAATGTAGTTCATTCCTGGTAAAAGTATAAAAAATTTCAATTCAAACGCAACTCTTGGCAGAATGTTTAACCTTACTTGGTCAAGAGGAGAGGGGGGTCCTTCCTCAGCATGTTTCAAAGTGTGTTTTAATGCCAGAAATTGAACAGTTTTTAATTCCAGTCTAGGAGAAAAGTTTGTTCAGTACCAGGGAAACAGTTTTAAGTGCTTTCAAGCAGTTCGAGCAGAGATGGTCAATTCAAAAATCCTTAGTGTCTCTCCATGTGGAATTTCCAGAATTTCATCATTTGGATCCTTTGATTGAATATCATTCATATTTTCAATTCTTTTTTTCTTTCTTTTTCAAGAGCTCAGATTTTTTTGCAGCCAGAGTTTCTTGTCTTCTGCTCATCAACATTTGTGAACTGCTTCTCTTTTTCCTTCAAAAAGAAAGATTTTCTGAAATTACCCATGGTTGTAAAACATAAGACTTTTTTGTGTATTTTCTTGCATTTTAGTTTCATTTAATTTTGCATCAGAGGCACTTCCAAATTAAAACATTCTGAATGGAATTTAAGCCTATTTTCTTGGACCGCCATTTTGTAGATCAATCGGGCCTATGAATGTTTCGAGTCTCAGTCTATAATTAATGTATGTTATATGGTTGGATCCAAACTCAAAGCAAAGTTAGACAAAACTTTCATTTAAAAAAAAGACACATTAATTTTTTTTTACAAATAGACAGTAACATTTAGCCTACAGACAGTTTTCTGACTCAGTGATTGCCTCCATTTTTGTCACTCACCAGTTATGAAGTAAATCAATCCTATATATAGTCTTCCTTCTTCATATTCTGTTATTTTCTTTAAAAGTTGACAAAGATCAGTGACTATGCAAATTATAGATCACAAATACCCATCCTTCCACTCTCGAAATTCCCACTTCCAACGTCTCGCGCGTTTTCAAGTTTGCGCCTTTTCAAAATTGTACGGTAGAGCTAAGAAATACGTTAGTTTCGAATTTCCAAGATTTCTGTTAAAAAAAAATTAAAAAATACTATCTGAATAATTTTCACTGAAAATACAATTTTTTTTATATCAAAATAAGTTTTATCAATGAAGAATTCGAACTTTTTACGTCATCAATTAAATTGGACTAAGATTACAATAACATCAGGATCGAAGTCGGGCTCGATGAACAATTAATTTTAACAACACCGAAATTCTTCATCATGTTGATGTTCCACAGAAGGAAAGTTGGAACGAGTGCCACGAACAGGAGGATCGTGGTCAGCTTGGGATGGAAGAAGATGACGACATTTTTAAGACCGGTAGGTACAATATTGTACAGTATTTTATGTGTCCTCGAACGAAAAATGTTTCTGCTACTTTTGATTAATCCGGGCACCATACATAAAATGCCCGACGGTGAAATCGTTAGGACAAGCACTATTTCTGTAATAATTATTTAACAAGTCTATATATATCATTAAGATTATTGATTTTAACCCGAATTTCCTTGCTTGGAATCGAACTGATGTCAAGAATTTTACCTGTACCTTCCTTTGTTCAAGATAACATTTACAGAGTATGATGTACATGTAATTAATTATTTATTTTGTAATGCATGTTCATGACCATTTTTCAGCTCTTATCTTGTATGTTTCGATTGTTTTAATAGTTGCTGCATTGCCTGAGATGATTTTCACAGTCCTGGCCTTTGATAAAGTGCATATACATGTAGATGCTTAACCAATCAGTCACTAGGCTTGTGAATATGGTGAGAATCAGCTCAAATTATCATTCAAAATAAAGAAACTAACTTTGATTTTATTAATCTATGTCTTTAAGCATAAGATTAAAAAAAAATAGTGCAACTATGCCAAGTGAACAACATTCAAAGATTTTATATTCTCAACATGCCTAATTTCCATATCCTTATTATTTTTAACAACGAATTCTAAAAGGTAATCTAAACATGCTAACTGCATGGGTATGTATAATTATTTTAGATCAAATATAATCAAAGATATCATCTTCTATGAAGTATACATGCATTTTACACAGGAATCCGGATGCTCCACAAGATTTAGGACAAGAACTGTATAAAAAATGGTAAGATTTCTTCATTATTTTCTTAATCAATAAAATCACATGAAATAAAATTAATTTTTTTCAATATTAGTCAGGCATTTAGCTTCAGCTCTAGCCTTTTCATTTAAGCTCAACTGAGCCATGTTAAGGCCTAAGTGAGTTTTTTGATCAGTGTCACAGTCTTGTGTTTGTCTGTTGTCTATAAACTTTTCACATTTTTACATTTATCAGAATTAATCCTAATTTGAACAAAAAATTGCAAGATAGTGAATTTATATTCTACAGTAAACTGATCTGCCAGGTAGAAAAGAACAATTGTTTTGTAGAGCTTTAGTTTATTATTTGTCATATATTTATACGGATATCAATAATGATACATCTTAAATGGTCATCTCCTATTTCAGAAATTGTGCAAGGAAAGTTTGAAGTGTCAGTTGGAATGATCAACATCGAACTTGCTGAGTTTTCGTACTAAAAGTGAATCCGTTGGTGACGCCAATTATCTGTCAACCCTCTATTGCAAATTTCATGGGATATCTGAGGATGTGATTCTAGCAACATGTCAGAAGTTTTGTATCTTCCATAATTGGGATCTTTGGCACGTACATTGGTGGAAAATAGCAAATGTTCATTTTATGGGATCTTTCTATCAATGTAGTTGTGTACTACATATATTTTTGCATTTAATACATGTGTTTGTCACTCTAGTCACTAACTTTGTACAGTAAATGTACATGGGATACTGGCACTTTATTGTAAATGTATATACTGTTGAGGTTTCAATGACCTCTCCCAATCCTTGGCCAATGTCATTTAATGAATCTAACCTCTTATTTAAAAAAAATGCATACTTTAGTTTACTACATACATGTATGTCATAACTTGATTATCACTAATTTAACCAAGGCGATCCCCCAGTAATCTTATTTTTTCTTGGATATTTCTGTTAATAACCTTTGATGTAAAATACTTTGCAGTTTCATTGAGAATACATACATTTAAAAAAGTGTGCTTATATTGTACATCTGAATGGTATATGCTATTATATTTGTCTTAAAAAACATTGTAAAAGAAACTGTAATTTTTTTATTTTGCAACTTGTTTAAAATTTGTGTTAGAGAAAATTCGGTCGCACAAAGTTGTGTGATGAAAAACGACATTATTTAAAGCACATTATGATGAATATAACTGTTTAATTTAAATTATGAAGAAACATAAATAATAAATTTGACAAAAAATGCTGTCAATGGTGATGCAGTGTTTGTTTGATTAAAATCAAATAAAAACACGAAATGTTTAGAGATTTCATGATTTATTTTTTCAGAAAGTTGGTGAAAGAATGTTATTAAATTTAAATTATGCCAGAGGCTTGTTCAACAATTGCATCTGCATGCAAAAGTTGCATTATGAGAGTAATGAGTGTTTTCTGTCAATCATTTTTGTCAATTATTTTAGTCTTCATGAAAATTCATGAACATTCATAATACCTTGAACTCTACATTTTTTCTGTCTTTAAAATGAAAATTACCAATATTCATATAAATTCATCATTTGTTCATGAACTACATTTTATGAATATATTCATGAATAAAGTTCATGAACCATCTTTATGAACCAGTCATGAACCGTTCATGAACACATCATGAATGTACATGAACGATTCATAAAAGTTCCTGAAATTATGAATTTCACCTCGCAGGGGTACATACACTAGATGTAATTGTATCACCTGATATTTCGTCCAAAATTGGGGAGGATGCTGGTTCTACTGAATCCCTCGGTGATTCCTTTATCAAAGCTGGTACGCTTTCAGTGACCTGTCTCAGCTTGTGTGTTGTCAACACCGCTGCTTGGGGAGATGCTGGAAGGCTGCTAACGGGTAATTCAGAATGGGCATGTGCTGGAGGATCCAACAGCAATGAGGGGGCCGATGGTGCAGCAACAACATTCATTGATCGAGAACCCCGTCCTCTCCTTTAACCTTTTTTGCGTGGCCTGATTATTGCCGTCTGATTTGCGCTTCGGCGTTCTGTCTATCTAGTCTTTGAAAGTTTCAGCGTCAACTGATGACACAATGTGTTGTGACGTCAAACGTTCTGTTAATGTAACACTAATAACCCCGGGAAAAAGTGGAATAATACTATACAGGTTGGCTAAATTACACTCACAGGCAACCAAATCAAAATTAAAACAAGAAGCCCATGGGCCTTATAGGTCACATGAGTATCATGTAACAACTTTCCAGCGATTGTATTTGGTTCGTGTTTTAATCCAAAAGCCATGAAATTCACAAATTTTGAAAGAGGCACCATTGCTTATCAAAGGGCAGATTTCAAAGCATTAATTTATTTTTAGTCAAAGTAACCCCCTGGTACCCCTGACCCAGCGGCCCTGAAATTATCTATTTTGAAAGAGCCCCTTTCTTCATTATAAGGCCAGCATTTTTTTAATGTTTAGGTTTAGTTATGAACATGAGAATAAAAAAGTCCCGAAGGAGAAGGAAGTAAAAAAAAAATTTTGATAAATCAATTATTAACATTTGTACATTCTTTTTTAATGCTAATCTAATAGACTCCTCACCACTGGACACATAATGCTTACAAATAGGAAAGTAGAACATTTAATTGCTTATTTCATCATCTGCCAGTTTGGGCCAGTTATATAAATTTTATGATGTTGATCAAAATATATTTTTAAAAATCAATTCTTTAAAAGTCTTTCAATATATCTTCATTTTTTTAATATGTGTTAGGTGAATGTGTAAACATTGTTCTAAAATTTACTTGATGCCTAAAATTATAATTCCTATCATAAAACATACAGGTATTGGGGAGAAGGGTGAACATTTTTTCAATTAAGTGTAAAATAATTTTTCTGGCTAATACAAATGATACTACATGCCTGTAATATTTGTATATTCTTGCCTTTTAATAGTTAATTTTTTTAATTTCTTCAGGTTATTGTTTATTTCTTCCTCAAATGGACTTAACTTCTCCCATAGTTTTATTCAGTACATCTGATGAATAAGCAATCCTTTTCTGAAGAATGATGCTTAGACTGTAAGCTATAACAGAGACCTAAACAATGTAGCTGGCAATATGCAATAGCTACCACGGGCTGTTTAAAACCTGGGGAGGAAAATAATTTACAGACAGATACTTTTGAAACGAATACATAATTATCTCACCAGCATGTCACTGTGCAACGAAGTCGTCAGCATTTTATTTGTCCTTTGAACGGGTGAAACGTTTTGAATGGCACTCTTATCGATGAATTTTACAATAAACCAAGCTATCTTCTCAGATCTAGCTTTATTTACCCGCCGTTTCATCTTAAAACCGGAAGTGCGAGTACGTAAATTTGAAATCTCGATCCCGACTCAAATTTGACATCGGAAAGAAAAAAATTGTTTTATATTTCTGAAAATTCAAAACCTTGAGCGGAGGGTTTATAAAACTGAAAAAAAAAAATAAATACTGGCCTTAAATATGTAATTAGATCATTAGCATATCAAAGGCCCTTTCACAATAGGCGCACGAGCAGAAGCGACAAAATATTCGTGCTACCGAATATTTTGTTTCTGATAGTAAAGTGTTGCCAAAATAATCGCATATGAAAAAAGTGTTCGTACGATCTAAAGCGACTGTTTGGGCATTAAATCTTGCGATATATCTTGCGTCTATATGCGACTGTTGTAGCATGAAAGCGAGTTTTGTAAGATAATGCGATAGGATTGCACGACTGATCAGGTAATCGGACGATTGAACGTGCAACAATACGACTGCTCATGCGCTCATGCATTCCATAATACGAATGTTCGTGCGAGTCTGAGGGCTGAGTATATATAACACCCGTTTCCGACGCCCTTCAGTTGACATAGATAATATGCTTATAATTTTACATGTTATATATACCTGTTGCAAAGAATGGGAATTGAAGGTGATAAATCAAGCAATCATAGTAAAACGTTGCAAGATTACATAAGACATGTTGAGCAACAGTCTCATGGTCGCAAAACACACGCAAAGATTAATCTTACGATCTTTAAAAATCGTCTTATGAGTACATAAAACGTTGTAAAACGTTCGTACAAATATTCGTGCGTTGAATTGCGATATTTTGTATCGCATTTGGTCGCGCCTGAGTAGTGTGCATGTTGACTATTTTGAGGAGACCTGATGCGACCACTAAAACACATGCAATGAATGCGAGACATCGTGCAACGTATGCGATAGCTCCTGCGAAGCTAAAATTTTCCCATCGCAAAGTGTTGTAAAGTGCTCGTGCGCCAATTGTGAAAGGGCCTTAACCAGGAGCAAAGGATAAGATGTTCAAAGAATTCATGCATTTCACTATATAATCATTAGTGCCCCACTCTAAAACAAGAACCCCTGACCCTGGGGCCATAAAATTCACAATTTTGGTAGAGGCACTCTTGCTCATCATAACTATGTACTTAGTTAGTTTATTTAATACCCAGGAGCAGAGAAGAAGATTTTCAAAGAATTCATGTAATTTCACTGCATAATCAATAGAGCCCCGCCCTAACACAAGAACCCCTGACCCTGGGGCCATAAAATTCACAATTTTGGTAGAGGCACTCTTGCTCATCATAACTAAATACTTAGTTGGTTTATTTAATACCCAGGAGCAGAGAAGAAGGTTTTCAAAGAAATAATGCATTTTCACTACCTACTTATTTAGCCCCGCCCTAGCACTAGAACCCCTGACCCCAGGGCCATGAATTTCACAATTTTGGTAGAGGACTCATTGCTGATTACAATCAAGCAAACAGTTTGACTGCTTGATGTCCAGGAGTAAAAAAGAAGATTTTTAAAGATTGCATTGATTTTAGTGGTTTTGGCCCCACCCCTCAGGTCCAAGGGAGGGGGGGAGGGATCATGAAATTCACAATTTGTTGTTCCCCTTTTCCCATAGGTGCTTTGGGCCAAATTTGGTTGAAATTGGTTCAGTGGTTGCAGAGAAGAAGCTGAAAATGTTCAAATGTTAACGCACGACGGACGACGCACGACGACGGACGAAAACAGATAGCAATAGGTCACCTGAGTTTACTCAGGTGACCTAATAATAAGGTACATGTATTTCACCTTGATAAATGGCTTTAACCTTGATTGATTAAATCACACTAACTGGAAACTTTTTTCATTTCTATCACTTTGTTTTTTCTAGTTTTCAAAAAAAAAATCTGATTACATTTTTAATGGTGAAATACTGTAATTTATTCATTGAATAAAAATGATATTCTGTCACAGTGTGACAGGATAGCAAAATGATATCCTTCACAGTGTGACAAATATCAGAAGTGCGGGAAAACTCTCGATTTCCATTCCCATAAGTAAGAATGTTGTTAAAAAATAATCCTTGGCCTGTTGTAATATTGAGAACGAGATAATAAACCATTCTGACAGAGATAAAGACTGCGAAAATTCCCCCAAAATGTTGCTGAAATACATGTTTACAATGTTTCTTACTCAGCTATGCGTCTCAACCGCTCAACTTGACGTCATGTAGCCTAAGACTGCATTACAAAAACGACGTGGGCAAGGGGAAATCAAAGAAAATGTAATAAACAGAAAATTCAATGTTTTGTAGTTGAATATGGAATTTATTTCACTCGTGAGACAGGAGTTTTGATTCTGTCCCACTCGTGAAATACATTCCATATTCAACGACAAAACATTGAATATCCTCTATTTTTTTGTACAAATCATTGTTTTTAGCTTCGATCGCTTTTAACTCCGTTTTTAAATAACTTCACAGATCTTAACACTGGTAAAATAAAGTTGAACTTAACGACAAAAGACACGACTGACCTCTTTACAACTTTCTGAACTTTGACGCAGCATGCACTTAATGTACAGGTCATGGAAAAATGTCATTACCTTTTCTCCGCAAGCACATTTTAGAACGTTATAAGTTTCTATAAAGTATAAATGCGTAAATAATTATAACGGTAGCTTTTTTTTAATAAGAACATAGCATTTCTTAGTGCTAATTGTAACGGGA